ACGCAAAGGGGGAGATTGTTGGGTCTAATTGTGTTGCGTCATGGGCTTGTGTTTTGTATCCGGATTGGGTCTGTCCATCCGTGATTATCTAGTAGGATTAGACTATATATAGTGCATGCATGTATGCATTAGAAAAGGTGTGATTATTATCGTTTATTGTTTTGTAACCCTAAACACCTCTATAGTCGAAGTTCTTAATCGAGCTCTTCTGAGGTGTAAAAGCATTAATCATACGACACATTCAAAGCCATTCTTGTGTTCATAATTACGTTCTTAATTGTTTGTCTGCGTAGAATCTAACGATCCTAATTGAACTTTGTTTCAACAGTCTCTAGACTCGGTACATTCCAACCCACCATGGGGACAGATTCGTGGACGTGTACTTTATCAAACGACAATAGATACCATGTTGATAAGCTAAGAAGATTGATTGACAGCTCACAAGCATTTACAGGCAGTGTGCTGATCGACTGGACGCATGATGTCCCGATTAAAGTGAATTGCTTTATTTGGAGACCAAGTATGGATAGAATCCCCACTAAGTGTGCGCAGCAAAAAAGAGGTATCTCAACAGGATCTTCCAGTTGTGAATATTGCGAGACTGAAGATGAAAATACATCACATGCTCTAATCAAATGCCCTTTTGCTCAGACTGTATGGCAGTGGGTATTTCACTGGTGCAACATATCTGCTCCCACGATTGGTAATATTGGAGAAATACTCACTTTTGTAGAAGATTGGGGGCATTGTAGCAGAAAGCGAAGTAATCTTTTAGCCATTTGTTACGGTACATTGTGGTCAATATGGAGGGCACGATACGACAGAATTTTCAAGAAGTTGAGATGTTCCCCCGCAACGGTCGCAGATAATGTTAAATCCATGGTATTCGCATGGATCAAACACAGGAGAACAAAATGCCATTACCAATGGATACCATGGTATATTAACCCTTTTGATTGTTTGTAAAACACTAAAACACTATGTATGCTTCTATTTCGCCTCATCTAGCATCTTGCTAGTTGGTGGTGTTTTTTTTTAATAATATTTGTCGGTTCCAAAAAAAGCTATATTGATATCTTTATTAGTTTTCTAAATTGTTAGTATTGTTCTATATTTATTTTTGGTTGATTATTCGGCGGCTCCCATATTCCAGTATTTGTTAGTTTGGTTGTTACTTTTTATTTATTATATCTGATGGTATTGTATTTTCTCTTCATTGATTTTTTTGTGTTTCATCTAATTTAATTTAATTTAATTCGTTGTTCAATAAAAACCTTTATTAGTTATGTAATGGTTTAATTTAATTGTATCGTAGATGAAAATATTAGTATAACTGTTACTTGTTAATTGATTTCGATTATGATTTGAAATTTTTTTGTATTAACATATTCGGCATATATGATAAATTATTTAGAGTTTGATCCATTTGGAAAAATGTCTGAATTTATTTTTGTTTCGTCATCCTTACTTAAGTTGCTCGTGTTCCGTCCATGCTTTAGCGTCTTTGCGAAAGAAGTGTTTTGATGCGGTGATTGTTACAACTTTCTAGGTGTTGTGAAATTTTGGTAATAATTCATTTTTTGGATTCGCGAAGTCCGAGAACTTGTTCAATGTTAATGATTTGTAATAAGTATAAAAATTATAAGACCAACTAGGTTGGTTTTTTTTTTTTTTGAACCAGCAAATTTTATTAAGAAAAAAGAAAACTCAACCTCACATATCAAGGTAGGGATACAGATACAGTCGCCACCACAATATAGAATATCAAGTTCCCCTATACTTTTTTACATAAGTGGATTAATACATCAATCTATCTATTTATAAACTTTATTATCGCTTCTATGCTTAAGCAACATGAACACCGATGACTGAACCATGTCCACAACTTTTGTAGATGCAATCCTTGATTGATTGAAGGTTCTATCATTTCTCACTTTTCACAGACACCACATCGTACCATAGCATATACCCACCAAGACCTTTTTCTTTTTTGGACAGTTCCGCCATGTCGCCGCAAATTATTAGAAGTTCAAATACCTTATCAAATGAGGGCATCGAAATACCACACCATCTAAATATCGTTATTTATTTACAATTCGTTTGTTTTGATGCTAGCTTTTTGCTATATTAATGATATGTTGTTCTAAAAAAAATTGTATTCCCCTCGACTTAAACCCAATGCATCCCTCGATTAAAGTACACGAATTAAAGTATGATGGTTTGAAAGATAAAAGTCACAGAAGTTAATTAAATACATGAAAATTCACAATAAATAAATAAATGACAGCATAAATTTGGATGACATTCAACCATAATTGAGACGAAAAATGTCATTTTGCACGTAGAAACTTCCTTGTGGAGTGGGGATCAAATGAAACATCTGCAAAGAATCCAACATCAACTTATTTAAATATACCAACTAAATGACTCTAAATTACTTAAATAATAATGAATTCTTTATGAATTTGTTGATTATATGTGTTGTTTCTTCTGATCTGAATTTAAAACCATAATGCTTAATCGGACATATTAATTTCTTCAAGGTATAAGGTGTAAAAAAAAAGTACTATGTTAGGTTGCAATAAGAAAAGAAAAATAGCATATCATAATAGATAAATAAATATATTAAGTAAACTTTATTTGTTGCATTTAGCCCTAAATATTTTTACTGCTAATTGCTAAATTGCATTTTTTTTTTTTTAAATCTACATAATTGTTCTTGTGATTCAAAATATTTTTGGTTATGTTACATTGAAATATATAGATTCAAATTCAATCTTGTTGTATGATAGTAAGAATAAGTATTTATTGAAGTGTGTAAAGGTGAGAAAAAGGTATATTTGATGTGTGTTCCTTAAAGGGCTGTTTTGGAGTTGGAAATACGAGGACAATGTGTCAATGCTTCATATAGAGAAAAGTTGAAGATGAATTGTGAGCATTAGCAAATAGGGAAAATGACTTAGGAGGGTAACTACCTCTTATCCGTGTTTACATATTGGTAACTTCTTCTTTTTTGTACATAAGAAAGCAACTAACTTGTTTTAACTGTTTAAATTACACCAATATTACCGGCTAATATCTGTTTTAACCGGTAACTCAAAAGGAAAATGACTTAGAAGGGTAACTACCTCTTATCCGTGTTCACATATTGGCAACTTCTTCTTTTTTGTATATAAGAAAGCAACTAACTTGTTTTAACTGTGTAACATCCCAAAAATCATGACCAAAAATTTCGTTTTTAATTTAATACTAAAACCATAATTGTCAAACCATTAATTTAATACTCTGGCATCGGGCCCCGCCCGGCATCAGGCTCCGCCTGGCATCGAGCCCTGCTCGGTATACAGATCTGTCTCGCTTAGGCCCCGCTTGTCTCCGGGCCCCGCCCGCTAAACACATACAATCATATAACATGATAACACATAAAGAAACATACTCTACTGTATCGCTGTCCTAAGAAACATACTCTGCTAATAATGAGATACAAAACCTCTTCCGTACTCAGCTAGTTCCAGTCAGGCTTTAGCAGTGCAAGGTGAGTCTCCTCACTGTGTGAATGGGTCTAAGGCCACAATGTCAACCCATGTAGTCTATGAGTAGGAAGACCCGGGGGTTAGCCCTAGGCATTGTATGCTAGTATGTTATTCCGGACCAAGGTCCGATGCCGGGCGGGTGCCCGAGGAATGTTTGCATGTTAGATTATACTTATTGTCTGTGTGATACTTGTATGTGTCTGGTAGGGAGGTGAATGTGGGCGAGGTCCTGTATCTCATCACTAGCTGAGTACGGACGAGGTTCCGTATCTCATTATTAGCAGAGTATGTTTCTTAGGAGAGGGATACAATAGAGTATGTTTCTTTATGTGTTATCATGTTATATGATTGTATGTGTTTAGCG